TATATATATATATATATATATATATAGGATGTATTTACCCTACTTCGTTAAAGGTGATGAAGGAGGGGTAATTAAATTTCCTCCATAATGACATGAGTTGGCCTCACGATTCAATTTGATTAGGCATAGCCTGCTTACCAAACTGTATTCTCATCCAGGGTCGACTGTAGTATCAACTTCGCTTAGATCTCATTAACACTACGGCGGGACTCAAACCCAGGTAATGCAGCGTATACACGCAGCACTGTAATCCACCGTGGATGAAAATACCTTTTGAGAAGCAAGGCTATGTGAAATATACTTGAATCATTTGGCCCACTCATGTCATTGTGGGAAAGTTTAAATACTAGTTCTTTATTACCTTAAACGAAATAGGATGAATACATCTCATATATATATATATATATATATGTAAATATTTATATGATCTACAGATAGTCGCTAAAACCTAATTATAAAACATAGTCCTACATGTGTTTCTCCTGTTCAGAATGTTGGCTGTCTTATTAATTTATAGTCTCCATAATCTTACTCTTTGTTGTGAAGTACGTGCAACTGAACTCGTCTGTTGTGGTTACTGTAACAGCTACGTTTAGAAGGTAAAGACTTTTGGACCCATAAACATTTGGAGTCGGTTTTATGTTCTGATAATCTATTCTGAACTCATTAAGATCGCAAAATTAGGTATAAGAAGTGAATAGGCTTGCAGCCGACAACTTTTTCTCTTTATTTAGTATATTGTTGTGCTATTTAATAAAGTATGGTGTCCTGATTTGACGCTGCCTGTTCTTGACAGTCGAAAGCTTAGCACTGGTTCATCAAAGTCGCGGGATGATGAGCCAAGGGCTCCTTCGTACGATCCAAAGTCCTCACTCTTTCGGTCTCCGATAAGACTAATTAATGAATTCTTACTAATAAATTTCTTTTTCAAAAAAGAAAGTCGAGTCACACTGAAGTAGGTATAGTTATTGAACCGAGAATTCAAGAATCTTCCCCATCACTCCGATCTCAAAACACGTTATCTTTGTTCTTGCATTCTTCTTACAAACCCAATAATCGCGAGCATTAGTTCTGACCAAAAGGACTCATCTGCAATATCCTGGTGATCCTTGAAATCCTCATAGATATTGTTTTACTAATCGCAAAACTTAGTACTCTTTGAGGTACCCCACAATGGGTTTCTATAATCAAATTACAAAAGCCGTGTCTCCAGACTCATTCACGATTTCCCCAGTGTTACTTTTTAATATCTCCAACTCTTTTATCTTGCAAAAGTCCAAAATATCACCCTGAATCTTGATATTCGTTGCAACTTAACAGAGAAAGTCTTGATACACTTTTTAACAACATTCTTCTTCTGGCCATCCCTATAGGCTCATAAAGATTTCCATGTCGTAATATTTCCATTAACGTGATACAAGAAGTTACAGCCTCCGTTAACTAAATTGCTGGCCATTCCTATTGATCACCTTCAACTTTCTAGTTGTTTACCTCATCCTTCCCACAGCTACATCATATTCAGCTTCATCTTACCTCACGGTAGCAGCTTCAGCCTCTACGTCAACTATTTTTATAAATTAACATCTAAAAAGCCTAATGTTGCCATTGCATTTTATTTATCCCGCTTTCCAAAAATCCTTATCATCCAGATTGTATTGCAGCTTTAACCTGGGGTACGGCTTGTTAGCACCCTCAAGGGATTCAAAAATGAATAACATGCGTAAATCGTCAACGTTACCACACCATCTCAAGGAAAAGGTTTCCACTCGGTCACAGGAAAGGTGTCAATTTCAAGGGGAGCTGAGCCTATCTAAAGCGAGATTGTTTTCAGTATGGAAAACTTTTTTTAGTAAAATGGACCAAATAATTATATTCGGAATGAGGAGGTTTCAAAAGTATCAGTATTTCCTGAAGTATAACATAAAATAGAAATTGTAGCTTGGAAACGTTCTCAAGCAGGTTGTCGTACTATGGTCGAGCTCCTTACTAACAAATGTCTAACTATTCATATGAATAGGGAGAGTAATGGCATGTCTTGAAAGTTGTATTTGCCCTGTCCTCCACTGGTGGGGGAGTGGTGGCATTGTCAAGCGATACTCACAAAGCGTATGAGAAAGCCTTTGGAGAAGCAAGGTTTAGTGAAATTCAATGGCATTCTGAGACCTTCCACTCATTTAAATGATGGAAAATCCATTACTATTCCTTTAATTAACATAAGAGAACTTTACTTGTCACTTTGATAAGTTGTAACTATGTTCTCACGATGTCACCTCTCTCTGACGATGCCGACGATACGTTTAGGAATGTACTCAGCCAATGGTCCAATGCTAAAAATCACGAATATTATGACAGAGGACAAGGGACTAGGTACATTCTACAAGGTCTTTCTGACGCTACGACCAAGTTGTGAAAACATGGCAGAACCAATACTATTAATAGAAGTGGGTTGACCTCGTTGTCGCAACTTGGTCTTGCTTTTAGGGAGACCATGT